ACGCGACCCGATCTGTCCTGCCCGTGGCAAGAAATGTAATGCATGCGGCGAGATCGGACATTTTGCAGTCTGTTGCAAAAAAATTTTAGTGTAAGTATCCGTCAGTATGGAAAATGCGACAAGTCACTCCGCTACCAAGAAATACTGAGGAGGATATGAATAAGCAGTGTTTTCGACCTGTCACCTTTCTCCCAGCCTTAAACAACATCTATGAGAGGCTCCTTTCGTCGCAGTTACTCAATCATTTCCAGGGCCTTCTCTCTGATTTTCTCTCAGCCTACAGACAGTTTATAGCTGCAATACGACGCTGTTACGCCTTGTTGAGGACTGGAAGGAATGTCTAGATCGCGGGAAGCTTATAGCTGTTGTAATAATGGACTTATCAAAGGCTTTTGATAGCCTCTCCCACGATCTTCTCATTGCTAAATTGCGAGCGTACGGCCTAGATACACAGGGTTGTGCTTTATTTAATGACTACCTTCAGCATAGGCAACAGAGGGTAAAGATTGGCGATGAGTTTTTTACGTGGAAGCATAATTACAGAGATGTGCCACAGGGAAGTGTCCTAGGACCCTTACTTTTTAACGTATTCTTGAATGATATTTTCTATTTTATTACAAAGGTTAAGCTTGATGCATACGCTGATGATCAGCAATTATATAGCTCGGATGCGGATCACCCGCATCCGAGTGAATAGTGAATAGTGAACTATCGATTGCTGTCGATTGGTTTAGGAATAACGGTCTTATGGCCAATCCAAGTAAATTTTATTCTCTCATACTCGGAGAAACTGTTCTTAATTTTTCATTTATAATTATAGTTGATGGGGTGAGAATCGAGCAGCATGATGATATCGATCTTCTAGGAATTAACATTGACTCAAAACTTAGTTTTTCGAAGCATGTATCCCATATATGCGATCAATAACCAGTCTAGGGTCATCGGGCGTTTTGGAAAGCTTCTCTCTGGATCCATACGGTTACGTTTATACAAGGCATTTATACAACCTATCTTTCAGTACTGTAGTGCTGCATGGCATTATTGTGGAGCACGGAATTCTAATAAGCTAGAGATAGTTAATAAGCGAGTGCTTCGCCTAGTCCTCGGAGACAGTTAAAGTTCGTATTCAGCTTCACTGAACAGGCTTGATAAGGTATCACTAAAAGATGAAAGAGTCCAGGACATATTGACTATGGTTTACAAAGGCCTTTAAAACATGGCTCCTGGGTATATCACATCACTTCTCAAAAAGCGCAGTCAAAGTGCGTATGATTTAAGGGGTAAAAGGAAATTAAAGATACCAGCGATGTAGATCACAACTTTTGGACTTCACTCTTTCAGGTATCTTGCTGCCTCTGCATTGAATAGCTTATCAGATGAACTAAGAATGTCAGACACTCTAGCCGCTTTTAAACGTGCCATTAGGAGCTATATATGTAGTGGGGATTAGTATATAATTATTAGCATTTTTATATGAGGTTTTATATGAGTCTTTCGATTTTAAACTTATTGTAATTTGTTTTGTAGTTATATGCTCGGAGATTCTAGCACATCTAGTGCTATTCATTAATCCGAATGGAAATAAAGTTTATGTATGTATGTATGTATGCATGTATATATCGTCATTTACATCGTTGATTACCAACTTGAGTACGCTAGAGGTCATGTCAGTTGATCACCTGACCTAGAATAAAAGGTTACAGTGGAACCAAAAGATTGTCTCGTCCTTGACCACCGTAAAAGCTCGCTCGAAGAGATCACCTGTGACCAGTTCCCGTTCTCGCTGCAGAGTCGCTCTATAAAGCAAGTTACCCCCTCTATTGTTATAAGTCCAGTTTGGGTGCGAAAGCTTTCGTCACAAGGGAAAATAAAATTATTATCATAATGTTTATATCGATGTGGAGAATTTAACTTTTTCCTTTCAGCATTTAATGCCGTTTTTACAAACCTCAACACCAATGGAAGATTTGGTCCAACAACGCTGGGCAGTCATTACACAGGCCAAGATCATGACGGACAAGTTACACTGTCCAGCGGTATTCAACAGTGGACTGTGCCGCGCACTGGTGACTACAGAATAGAAGCAATAGGAGCTGCAGGAGGGTATGAATTATACTCTTATAGAACTCAGTACCGAGGAAGAGGAGCAAGAATGATTGGAACGTTCTGCTTAAACAAGGGTGAAGTCATTCAGATACTTGTTGGTCAGGAAGGAGGAAGAAAGTGGGGGAAACATTCCTCTGGAGGTGGTGGAGGAACGTTTGTGGTGAGAGGAGCCAACACACCTTTGATAATAGCTGGAGGCGGAGGAGGGGTAAATAGAGCTGACACAAGACACGAAGGTTGTGACACCAGCACAAACACAACCGGGAATCCTGGATACAAATCATGGTCAGGGGGGAGCAATGGAGATGGTGCACATACTGCTGATAATGGATGGTCAGGTAAGGGTATATCGTGATGATTCCTTTCATTTCAGCCTTTCTTTTAATATTATATCATAGCTACATGATAATGCGCTCTCTGATTGGCTTAAATTTATGAAAAAGAAATGGATGGTTCATCGAGTTGGTTTAGGCTGACGTCATTGTCGGTGATAAGTTCCCATCGAGTTTAGCCGCGAGGTTTCAAAACTTTCGAAATTGTTTTTCCGTTCTATCCCAAATGAGAAAGACCTTTTGGAGCTCTATTTGAAAAGAGAATTTGCTAAATGATAATCGTTTCGAAAAGCAATGAGTATGTAGCTCTTCAAAGCGGCGGAATTAGTTTTGGAGTCGAGAATACTTTATTTTCCAAACGCGATGCACGAATACGGCTGAAACAAAACTGAGCTTTGTTGGCTTCAACTGAGGCTTCTCGACGTTGGGACAAATGTTATTTTGAAGTGTTGATAAATGTATGTCCTAAAAGTGTTCTTTAATAGATGATTTTCCTATGAAATCGTATACTGAATTTTTTTAAGATTTTCGACAAAAAGGATCGCAGTTTCTGATTGTCAATTCTAATAACAAGCAATTCAAGGAGGTAAATCTATCACATGGAAATTTGTAGGTTTTTTCCCTTATTTTTTTAAACGGTTGATATTAGTTTTAGTGTTGCATTGTCTTACGAAAAATTGTATTGCGTGACTAGCATGACCTTCTGGATGCTTCGCGAGAGTTCATAGTTCGGTTATTTTAGTATTTTGCGTGAGCGTTCCTTAAGCAGTATGTTTTGTAATATTTCTATGATTAGACTATTTAGAAAGTTTTTGAATTTTATTGTGTAAGTATATAAGTAGGTGAGTCCAAGCGAAGTTTTTAACAAGGTTTCACAAGCGAAGAGAGTTTGACGTTGGTCGTGTTTCAATCAACTGCGGATGGAAGCAGCGTTTCTTGAAGTTGGCGGAGGCCGTGTAAGTTTATTGTGCTGTTGTAGAGCTGTTGTAGAGGTTTACTTCGTGGAAACTAGGTTCATTTTTGGAATAAATCTTCTTGTTGCTGTTCCGACAACCCTGAGTTCAGTCTGGTCTGCAAGCTACCCGTCCTCTAAAAGATTACCCGCGTGACACATTGATAACTCCGGAAGGTAGAGTTGGTTCCGGCTGCCCTTTGAGTAACTCCTCTCTTCTGCTCTCCAAACTTCCCGCGCGTATCCATAACTCGATATACGCATCGGAGGCACATAACTCTTTAATACATCTCGGATAAAATATAATTATCTCGTGCGATGCGCTGAAATATACTTATATGGAAAATAGAACTTGCTGCGTGTTTATAAAAGATCATATCTAAAAGTTAAGCTATTTAGTTTTGATCTGCAAATATCGATAACATCTAGGTTACTGCTCACATAAACAGCAGTTCCTCCTTATCGAAGGCCGTATAGGTCATATTTACTGTAAAGACGAGTCGCGGTAGCAGTGTTGGCCGGAGAACGGAAAATATTTGGCTCGAGTTCATGGCGTATGGACCGAGTGCAGCGCGGTCCGTGCTTCACGACCGAGAGTCAAATATTTTCCCGTCCAGCCCGATCAAACTAATCAACAGGCATCTTATCATAGGACCACTTCGAAAATTTGGTTCAACCAAACTAGGACGCGGTGCATGAGCGTACGCTAAACAATCACGATAAATATCCTACAGGAAAAGTTTTCCTTTGTTTTTTGGGGCAGAACAAGAAACTTATAGTTCATTAACCCGTCCGCCCATACACAAGTCAGCTTTTACTATGGTTTTTAATGAGATTACGCGCGCGGGGCCGTACGGGTCAAATAATCATCATCTAAATTAAACTTTAGGTAATGTGTTAAATCAACTTACAGTATCTTGAACAGGAAAAGTAAGATAAGAAAAAAGGAAAATTAATCGAAATTCCTGAAACTGAAAACTCCATGTCGACATAGATACCCTAATTAATAAGATGAAAGATTAATTACAACCTGTTATTATGTTTAGTCTGTAGTTTTCCTCTTTACATATATATTATCCTAATACCTAGATGTTTGTAAGCACGAAGATTAATGTCTACATATTGTTATTGTATGTGAGTATATATTGTATAAAATTGTGTAAAATTATATGTCAACAGTCTGGCTTGCCGCGATTAGCTCTTTGCTATTTGCAAGCCGGCGTAGTAATGACCATCTGATGTGAAGAAATTAGAATAATAATAAAGGTTACAGGTTAAAAAAAACCCTTTGTACAGCTAGGTATTACAGAAGCTATATACAAATATCAAAGCTCACGAATAGCGGCTCAATTAAAAAGCATTGTATTAAGGTTTGGCCGAGCTGTTATGGTTTTATTGGAGCGTTTTAAAATAGGAGTAAAAAAATTTCCAAAAAGTCGAATGGGTTAACATCCAATAAAAACAAAATTTCGTTTTTGTTTACTAAAAAATCTAAATATATTCATTGTATTTCAGGTGGTGGTGGTGGCGGATTTTATTCCAGTGGAAGAAGTGGAATGAATTTTAATGGAATCAAAGGATGGGGTGGAGAAGGTGGTAAGGGATTTATTCAGGGAGGGGTGGGTGGAAGAGCCCAGTTAAACGATGTCGATGGTGGGTTTGGTGGAGGTGGTGGAGCTTATGGATGGAGAGGAGGAGGAGGAGGAGGAGGAGGAGGAGGGTACTCTGGGGGAAGCAGCGGAGATGATGGTTATGATACCTGTGGGGGTGGGGGAGGCTCTTACAACGATGGAAACAACCAGGACAATGAATGTTGTTACAACAACGCTGGTCATGGTCAAGTGACTATTACGTTCCTGGAGTAAAAAAAGTTTATCTACTGTGGTGATAATAGCATTACCATTTAGCTTTTATTGATTGGCATTCTAACACTGA